TTGCAGTGATCTGATTTTTTTTTGGTTTCCAAACGAAAAATGGGCGAGTATTTGGCCATGAGATGTTTTCACTTTTTTGCAGAGTTGAACTTCTAAAAGAACTTTTCTTTTCAAGAATTACAAAAACAACAAAATAGTTTTCACTATTTTTACTCTAAATTACTCACATTTTTTTAAAAAAAAAACACTCTAATTTGTGTTTGTAGCCTAAAACTACTTTGATTTTCAAATATCATTTTTTATTTTAAAAATAAAAGATACTTTTTTAAAAAAAGGAAAAATTGCAGAAATCTCACCTTTTAGTTTACTTATTATCATTATCCCCTATAAGTTTTACAAATCTCCAAAATCCCTCATTTTCGCGCATCAGATTAATGTATCTCGCGCATCAGATAATGTATCATGTATAAAATGTACATCAGATTAGTGTATCATGTATAAAATGTAATATATCTTACTTAACGATTAAGTTCATCAAATTAATGTATCAGCGCTTATATTATTGAATCCGTTTTGAAAGATTTCTGTAATTATAAACTTTTAAGGGATATATTGTAATTTTGCTTTAAAAGTATGTGATTTCTGTAATTTTAAAAAAAATCACAATAAACTATGATCAAACGCTCAAAGAAAGAGTTATTTGAAATTTTGAAGAACTTTTTGCACCCGTTTCTGTAACTAACGTAAGAGGCTCTGTCAATCGGATTCTAGTTTCTTCTGGACCTAGTTCTGTAATTCCAATGAATTGAATGCATTTCTGGACGGGCATTTTGCACTTTTGTCCCTTTTTGTGCTTGTTTTTGAATTTTATCTCTAGTAATAAATATTTTTTCACATGACATACGTTTATATTTTTATATCATAATATTTTAAAAGTTGTGTTATTTTAATTTTTAAAGAACTTATTTTTCACCAGATGTAAGTTTGATGACTAAAAGACAAAAAAAATAAAGACCAACTTATTTGTAGGACAAAAATTAAAGATCAATCCATTTATAGAATAAAAATTAAAGAGCAATTCATTTGAAGGACTAAATTAGGAATATTCACACGAATACCTCTATTTTGAGATGATCTTTAATTTTTATTATTCAATAATTTAAGTAATAAAAAAATAGCCTCAACATTAAAAATAATCTGAAGGCACAAGTTATATCTTACAAGACATAAGCTCAATTTCAAATAGTGTGCCTTAAGAAGTTCATAATCCACAAATATGTCCTTACGAGACAAAAAAACAGCAAGGTAAAATTTGCAAGATACAAGTTATGCCTTGTCAGACATAAATTCAATTTCAACCCACAAAATTATGTCTCTTAGTTCTATGAACTTTTGTCGGATAAGGTAAAAGTTCTTTAATTTATGCCTTGTGAATTAGATACTACACGATTTATATCAAATAAAAAAAAATTATAAACTTTTACCTTGAAAAATTAAATCATAATTAAGAATACTTTGGTCTATAAAATTTCATCAAATAAAAAGCACGCACAATAACTTGCAATTATGTTTATGGACACTGCTTGGATAAATGGGGCTCAGGATGAACGAAGCCCATTTGAGCGTTTAAATTGTACTCAAAGGTAAATTTGAGTATATTGACATAATATTTTTAAATTAAATTAAATTGGATGAAAAATTATAAATTATAACTTTCTTTTCTTCATATTAATATAATAATAAAATATTTTTAAAATATTGATCAAAATTACTATAATTTAACTGTCGAAAGCAAATCATGATGATTAAATTGAAAGGGTAAAAGAAATTACTAATTTTATGGTGTTCAAAATATGTGAGAAATTTCAGGCGCTCTCTATACAATATCTACATTCATATGGAAGAGGCATTAATATTTGTCTCTTCTATGCTAATAGCCATGTCTTTTATCTTAAAAATGAATTTAGGCATCTTGTACAAAGGAAAAGGTGTCACATAAATTGAGACAAATTAAAAGAATATTACTTAAATTAGTTGGGTCTTGTTTTTACGCTCTGTTAGTTATGTGATAAGAAAAAAATGAAATTAAATAGACAATAATTACACTAAATGATAGTTTGGTATATAGGATGAAATAAATAAAAATATCTCAATAAATTATTTTATTCCGCATTTAATATGAGATAGTAATCCCACAATTTTAGTACAAATTGTAGGGTAAAACTTACTCGCATCGGGTGTTTACACCAAGTCAATACATGCATGCCATGTGTTTAAATTTATAGTTCATTTTATTTAACCATAATTAATTGACATGTGTTTTACTTCATTAAATCACGTAATAATGAGAATTGCATTGGCTTGATGTAAATACCCGGTGCGGATAAGTTTTTCCCCGTAGAATAATATAACTTTGAAATTAGCTAATACCTCAAATTAGACATGAGATTGACTCAATTTTTATTTCAGGATATTATCTTTTATTCCTCGTACCAACGACCCGTTGAAGTAAGAATTCTTGACCCACATTTTTCCTTATGTTAGCCAAATTCATTTCAACCCAAGTAACTTTTGAATGAGACAAAACATTGCATATTTATTAACTTCCATTTTGTCTTCTCAAAACCATCTCAATTCTCAACCCACTACTCCCTCTGTCTCTAATTACTTATCAATTTTGACAAATCAAGAAAAAATAAAGTTTTTTTTTACCTATTATACCCTCAATTAATTACTTTGAAAAAGGTAGACTTTTTGGAAATCTTAAATTTTTAATTCCTCCACTTCATAATTAATAAGGGTAAAATGGTAAACTCACTATATCAATAATTGTTTTCTTAATAGGTGTGCAAAATAAAAAAAATGGACAAGTAATTAGAGACGGGGAGTATTTGACATCTCTAAGCTCACCCCTAGCTCTGAAGGTTAGAAGCATTCTATTTTGCAGTAACATGAAATTAGGAAAGCTTAAGTTAGCTTATAAAAATGTGATTTTGCCAACGTGGTTTCATTTATGACATGTTTATATATTACTTTAGCTCATTGTGATTTGCCCAATTCAACCCATTAAAATCTGGATTAATATGTAGCTCAAAATTAATTCATAAAAAATCTTATTAAAATATTTAAAACGACCATTTTTTCTATTTAACATGTGACATATAACCATGATAAAAAAAAACAAAATCGTAGGCACTTGAATAAATCATAGAAAAAACAAACAAATAAATTAAAACTTACTTACTAAACATTAGACTACTTAAATTACGACCCATTTATTAACCAATTTTCCTCGGACTCTTCAAAAATATCAAGGTGTGCATGTCGGATTCGCTAAAAGTAGTGTATTTTTGGAGAATCCGATACGGATGTGGCATCGAAAGTGAAGAGTCCGCGCAACTTAGCCAATTTTAGCCCAATCAATAATGATCTACCTATTTATTAGCCTAGTTCATCCGATTTATTCAAATTCAACTTAACCTGCTCATTTGACATGATACTCGAAACAAATCAGGAGTTTGGGGCACACATCAAAGGAGAAAAATGGAGTTTTTGGCTAAAATCATCCTTGAAGTATGACCTAAACTTAAAGTACATCCTTGTGTTATATAAGTGAACAAAAAATATCCTTGAACTATTCAAAAAGTTGCAAGATTCATCCTTCTGTCTATTTTTTTTTAAGAAACTCACGCTACCAACAAAAAATGTGTCAAGTCGAATGAATATATGTACACATGGTTAAGCTAGTCAAGTTAAGTAAATTTTTTTTAATTTTTAGAAATTGAGGGTTTAAATCATATTCAGACAAAATATATTGAAATTCTAAATTCTTTGTAAAAATATGGTCAAATACTACTCCAATTTCAAAATTTTCGAATACAATAATTATTTTTTTATTTGGGAAAATGCATAAGTACCCCCCTAGCCTATGCCCAAAATCCCGAAGACATACCTAACCTTTACTAAGGTCCTATTACCCCCCGAACTTATTTTATATATAATTTTCTACCCTTTTTTGGCCTCCGTGGCACTATCCTTGAAAAAATTGTCAACAAGCGTTGGGCCCACAAGATAGTGCCACGTAGGCCGAAAAGTGGTAGAAAATTATATATAAAATAAGTTTGGGAGGGGGGGAGGGGTAATAGGACCTTAGTAAATGTTAGGTGTGTCTCAGGGATTTCGGGCATAGGCTGAGGGGGTACTTATGCATTTTCCCTTTTTTTATTTTTATAACTAAACGCCTACGTAATTTCACTAAATTTCCAGCATTTCTGTACATTGTATAAAATGCGAATTGCATTGTATATATAGTACATATGCCCTAAATATTTTATTAAAGAAAACCTCTAAATAGTTGGACGTAATATTTTAAAATGATTTTTTTTACATAATCTTTCTAATCATCGGAACCTACTGTATAAATATTTCAAAACTTATGTATTGTTGCAAGTCAATTTACTTGATGATGCAAAAAACATATGAACTAACAACACACAAAATTTAAATTCCGATAATGAAGGATTCATTTCCTATCTTTATCCTTATTCTTTTTAGGTAACTTTGAGTTCTCGTCATGGCAAAACATGACCAAATTAGTTTTTTTTATTGGTTCAACTAGTTTCTTAACAAAAATAGATTGAAGGATGATTCTTGTTATTTTTTAGATAGTATAAGGATGTTTTATGCTCACTTAGATAATATAAGGATGTACATTAGATTTGAGTCATAGTTGAGGGATGGTTTTAGCCAATAACTCGAGAAAAATGCATCAAAGTCCTAAATCGACGAATAGTAAAAAAAGGTACATAATTAGTCACTTTTTTGCCATTTATTTCATTGCTCATTTGGTATGCGTGAGGATTCACGCAGACTTACCCCGATGATTCCTCCCTGTATATATATGGCTGTATCCTCACTGTCAAAATGCACCATATATATGCTTATCAATCACTGTTAAATACCAAAAACAATAAAATTTCCTTTGAATTTGTAGCAATTGTGTGGCTAATACATTTTCTTAAGCAAATTTCAACTTGAGAAAAATATCCTTATTTGTGCCAATGAGGTTTGATCTACTGATAATGATAAGGTTGATGATGCTGTTAGGATTGATCGAGTGTGCAACCAGTGGACTTGACAAGGTGGGCGGCAAGCATGGCTGGGACCAAAATGTTAACTATACTGATTGGGCTTCTCATCAACATTTTTACCTTGGTGATTGGCTTTGTGAGACTCCTTCACCTTTATATCTCATACTAATATGATTTTGTTTTGTCTTATGTCTATTGAAAGTGAAACATAATCGGTGCAATTTAAATAAAACTTGCATGATTTTCTGAGAACTAATTAAATGGTTGCTGAACCTCACTTGTGGTTTCGTTTCAGATTTTGTGTTTGACAAGCACTATTACAACGTACTGGAGGTGAACCAGACGAACTATGAGCAGTGTATTGATCGCGATTTTATATCAAACATTACAAGGGGTGGGAGAGATGTTTTTCATCTAACTCAGGCAAGACCTTATTACTTTATCAGCAGTGGAGGATACTGCTTCCATGGAATGAAATTAGCTATAAATGTTGAAGAACCTTTGCCAGCTTCTCCTGCACCTTCTTCATCAGATAAAACTAATGCTTCTCCACCCCAAATGATCAAACATTTGATTACACCAGTTTTCGCGATTAGCAGTACTCTTGTGTGGACATTCTTGTTTGCTCAAGCTACGTTGTCATGACTCCAGTGCGTTCTCTGCAGCCTGAGGAAGATCTAGGATTTAATCTTTATGGATTTATATTTCTTTCACACAGACACATAGACATATCTAGGTTTATCTTAATTTTGAGTTTGGGAAATTGTTTCTATTTCAAAGTTTATTAGGCAAGCAACTTTGTATGTTTAGGAGTATTTCTCGTTTTGGTTCAATATTGAATTCCCCCTGAGTAATGCTAAATGTTGCATTCTATTGTACTTTTTGAATTTATTAGAATTCCTGGTTCCGCCATTACTGTCCCTCATACGCAGGTTACCCAACTTGACCAATTGGTTGCCAAACATCTTTCAAATCATACAGAAGAACAGAGAAGATAGAAAAAACTACTCTGTTTTCATTCAGAAAGAGGCACACAGTAACTGGAATGGTACCTACAAACATCTTACTGATGCACCAACCATTAGCAAATAACAATGCTTCTATAATTCAAAGCTAATAAGATACTTGTCAGATATAAAATTCTGCCTGCAAACTAGAACTACCACTAAATTGCGTCGAAATACTAAGCTTTCATACTTGAAATCATTAGTACTTCTGCTGCTGCTACTACTTACTGGTAGAAAGTTTGCTGTGTATAGCAATTGCTTGAGAAATTAGGCTAGCAGCATCACTAGAATCTTGAGGAAGCAATGTAACGGTCCCCATCTTGTTTATCTTCTCAAGCACTTCAACATACTGCTCAGCAACCCTCAAACTAGTAGCATCAGAACCTCCATCTTCAAGAATTGCTCTTGATACCTCAGTAATTGCATGCGCAGTTGCTTGAGCATTAGATAAAATAGCATCAGCTTTTCCCTTAGCTCTATTCACTTGGTCTTTTTTAGCAGCCTCAGACTCCAAAATCACAGCCATTTTCCTCCCATCTGCTACATTTACATCAGCTTGTCTTTGCCCTTCAGAAATCAGGACTTTCGCCCTTTTCTTACGCTCTGCTTCAGCTTGTAATTCCATAGCTACTCTTACACCTTCCGGTGGTGTTATATCCTTGATCTCATACCTTAAACACTCTAATCCCCAATCAGTACGTAAAGGCCAATCGTTAATCGCATTAAGTATGCATCTATTCAATTCAACTCGCTCTTCAAAAGTCTTATCAAGTGTAATTTTCCCAAGCTCACTACGCATAGTAGTTTGTGCTAACTGGACTACAGCGTAAATAGGGTCCTCTGTTCCATATGAGGCTAAAACAGGATCAATAATTCTTATATAAAGCACGCCATCCATTTCAATTGGCACATTGTCTTTGGTAATCCCAGTTTGTCTTGAAATTAGAATTGCTTGTTCCTTTAAGGAATGTACATATTGGATCTTATCGATAAATGGAATCAAATAATTGAGTCCTGGATTCAGTGTTGTAGTATACTTACCAAGACGTTCAACTACGTAGGCGTGTTGTTGAGGAACAAAGTGAATGCCCAAATTTTTGGGTGGCTTGATTTTGTAATTGGTGCTGAAGTTGCGTACGGAGGAGATACGTGAAGGGATTATATGTTTGCCAAATAGTTGAGAAGAAGTTGAGAGGTTTTTGCTAAACTGCATTGATTTTCTAATGATTTTCATGGCGTTGAGAGAACTTCCTTTGTAGAAACTCATCATTTTTGCTGAATTTCTTATGAACAATTCTAACTCTGGAGTCCTCTATTGTCGTGCTGAAGTAAAGTTCTTGTTGTTTGATGAACAGGTTAAGTATTTGGTTTCTTGTAGGGGAAGACTATATTTATTCTTTTTCTCCAAGAAATATTTTATAAAATATATATATTTTTTTAATGTGGATCATGAAGCACTTAACGATAGTTTAGAGGAATGGAGTCACAAAGTCATAGAGTTACTCCCACCGTCACATTTTATGTGACACTTTTCGCATTTTAAAATTCAAATAAGTCTATTTTTGACAGTAAGTTTTTCATAGATCCTTTTAACATTTTGAATTATTAATTATTGTGACTTATAGCACTTTATATGTAGTTTACAAATATATAAATTTCATTTCAAAAAAAATGAAGATTTCATACGCAAATGTTTGACACTTGAAAAACGAAAAGTGTCACATAAATTGAGACAAATGGGGTACTATTTTTACTTTAACAACAAAAAAAAATACTCACGAACATTTCTCATATAAGAAGTTGGTTAAACATGCCTCTTCTATGAAACAAAAAAAAGAAAAGAAAAGCATAAGAAAATATCTTGAGAATAAATATTATAAATTTCTTATTTTTAATTTTTTTTATCATATTATTTATTGAGATAAGTGGCAAAACACATTTAAACTATATATTTTTTTTTGAGACTCATAGTTTAGATATGAAATTAAAAAAAGAAGAAGATAATTTAGATGTATTTTTGATATTTTATCTCTTACTTATTTGATGCGTGCGTTACGGGAGGGGTCTTTTTTTTCTTCTTTCGGGGTCGGGTCGGGTCAGGCACTAAAGCAGAGGAGTAAATTTCCTAGATAATCGGATAAGATTATTCATCAATGGTGGGTACTAGCAGGAAAGAACGTCCGAATTCCCTCCGTCATGGCAACGGCTATGTCAGCCATTTTTGTGCCTCCTACTTCACTCGCTTCCTCCAATACACGAAAGATTAATCTAAGTTCATGGAACGAGAAACTCTTTATACCCCAAAATTTTCCATTCCGGACTCCCAAGTACCAGTCTAGGAAATCACCGTCATGCTCCGGTACAAATGGCACGGTGGTCCAAGGTGATCGGAATACAATCGAACTACCTATAAGTATCGACGCTCTTGACAGTTTCATTCGCCTCAATTTGGGCAACTGGACCGGCTCTTTCCATGTCAGTGTCAACTCCTTTCCTCTTTCTCTCTTTCAGTGGATGCATAGTCTATATATATGTGTATATCTTTTAAAATTTGAATACATGCATTTGTATGACTTTTGAATTTTTGGTTAATATTCATATGCAATCATGAACAGTTTGAGCTGGAAAGGTGCATTGGATTTGATTTCTTCATCTGCTTGATTTATTTTGCAGCAATTTGATGGTCATGGCAATTTGATGCATAAAATTACAACGAAGCTTGCTGTGGGCTCTTATGGTGAAGGTGAACTGATGAGTTTATTACAAACGTGAGTTCCTATAATTTGATTCTTCCCTGTTCGTAGTTAGCGGGCTACTAGTAACAAACAATGTGTCTTAACCTTGCTAGTTTCTGATGAAAATTTGAATGTGATTGCTAGTAAGAACTGCATTGGGACTTGGATTAACAGTCCTTAACAATTTTGTAGCTTCTTCCGTGACTAATATGTGTAAAGTATGTATGTTAGTATATACATTCTAACTTTGAGAATAATCCAGTCTAGTTCTTTTGTAATTATGAAATTACTAGTACTTATGTAATTAGCATTTAAATAAAACTAAAGTCAGTTGTTAGTCATCTGAAGTTAAAAAAACTCTCTGAGATTAAGGTAAAGTTAAACCATTAGAATTGAGGAGAATACCACGAAAATTTCAATGTTTACACTTCATGTTATATGGTTATAGTTTAATCGTATGTAGGTGAACTTTAGGGAGTATATAGAAATCCAGGTGAATTTCTCTTTTTCTTGTTTGTGAATTTTGAGAAATTTTCCATTTAGTGGCATGCATATCTTTAAGTGCAAGTAGATTTTGTCAGCCCAAAGCTCAAATTCTTCCACTGGTTTAAATACAGTAAATTTGGAGCAACAATTAAGGAGGCCAAATTCACACATGCCTCTCTGATTCATAAGCCCCTTTAGTTTCCAGATGTTTGCTTTTTTATCCGCATAAAATTAGTTAACAGTGGACACTAATGTATAGGGTTTCTTCATTAACTTTGGGTACTGTAATATGTGTTCACTTTGTGGTCTGGGAAACAAGTGGACTAATCGGCTTCAAAATTTTAGGTTATACATCAAACAACCTCCATCTACCACTTCATTTTCTGGCGATGATTGTGAGTCAGAGTGGTTTGAGTACAAAATCAAAGAGACCAACATGTTTACCGTGGACAAATATCAACAGGTGAGCTTCACTAAGACAGAGAACTAACTTATATCCACAACTGGTCATACTTAATTAAGATTGTTATCTGCAGTTTCTTTTTCTTTTCAGATTTTATTGCATTTGAGGTACCACTAAAAGTAGTTTGCAGATTGGCTTCTTCCCCAAGGAGAAGGCATACGCACTAAGATATCAGACTGCTGGCATGTTGGAGACTGTGTTAAGACAGGGAGTGCTAGGTGAAGATGATATCGGAGAAGAATCACCAAGGTAAATGTTTCTTACGTGGAGATGACTCAATCGATAAGTTAAAATATCAGTTCTGATGAGATCAAAGGTTGAAATTATGCATATATTTTGCTGCTAGCTTTATTTTGGAAATGCTACCCAGTATGACCTTAATGTTGCTGTTTCTCACTTTTCGCCTTGGCTCTGTTGTGTTCTGGTCTGTGTGCTTATCACTGATGTTTTCAAACATATTCAGTTTTCACCTTGTACTAAAACAAACCAAAAAGGCCAATGCCTAAGAATTTGAGTAAACAAACTCCAAAAGGCAAATAAGACGATCAATATGTAAATAATCCTCTCATCATAGCAGTAATTAGTTCCCAACTTAAAAGATATCAACTATGTAAAAGAATCTCATACAATTAAGCATTCATTAGTAGATCTTTCCTACTAGCAAATAAATATTGGTGGATGTTGGACATCTCATAAGCTTCATCAGATCAATTAGCTGGCATATTATTGCGTCTGACTTTCATATTAGAAATTATAGACCGTCTTCTAATAACCAATTGCAAAGGTTATGTACATTGCACGGGATCTTTTCTCATGAAGGACTGATTCATATTTTTTTATTAGCTTTATCTTTTGGTTCCTGGCTTTGAATGTGTTAATATCATTCTATAATTCCTTCTTTTCTTTCACAGAAATCTGAAGCTTCCCTCTAAACGGCCTTCTATTGTATGTGAA